TTTTTTTTTTTTTTTTCCATGTCCATTAATGTGCTGGCCATTTGCCTTACTGAAGGCACACAAGCTTCTACACCTGGAGATTGAATTGTTTGTGTTATGTATTGACACTACAGACTCAGCAACCAGGTTACAGGCACAAAACTCTGAGCTCCTTAAATGGCTCTGACAACACAAGAGCCTTAGTAACACGGCCAGGGGAAGGCTGGCAACCACTAAGAACAATAAATAACAAATAAATATTCAGCCTCAGTCTCCCTCCTGGGAGGGAGGCATCACAACCTGCAGCACATCATTTTTTTCGAGAGGAATGGCAGGGAAAGCTGTGCCTCTGACACTGTGGTGAACACCCTGTGCTCGTTCTTGGAGTGAAACCAAAGCTTTTATCTCCTTCCCTCGGTTTCTCCCAGTCTTGAATTATTGCTTTTTAAGAATGGAATTATTCCCCTGTGAAGGTCGTGGAGGGGAAGGAACGACCACTGAAAACCTATCTGCCTTCGTTTAGCTTTTTAACCTGGTTTTGCCCGCCTGCTCTTCCAGGAGACCGCTCTGATGGCAGATCCTTCGGTGGTGGATCACCTGACAAGACTGAAGCTCAAACTCCTGGAAAAGGTAAGGGAATAATTCTGCAGTGGTCACCTTTGCTCCGCTCTTTGCTCCCGCCTGTTTAAGCATTAACGTTGTATTTTAAAATGTTATACCCCTGCTGAGGTGCAGTGGGGGTCTGTAGCCAGTTGAGAAGGTCTTTCTTCATGCAAGCAGAGGCAGCCCAATGTGCAGCGGTGCTGCAGCTACTGCCACTTTCTTAAATAACACTGTACAAGTTTACCTGGACCTACAGCAAATTAAACAGACTGTGATTTTGTGGGAGATGTCACCAGTTAGCTCAAAAACAGCTTGGGTCGTGACAGGCAGAGTTTAGGAGTAAATTCTGGATAAAGAGGCCCTCGGGTTGTTTTAAGGCTGCACAGAATCCCAGCTGCCATTGGCTGTGATTCTGCACTCTTGTGTTCTCCGCTTTGCTCTGTTCCTCCACCCTCAGCACATCTGACACCCACTGGTGTGGATCCTCTGCTTCAATATCCTCCAGAAGCCACTCAGGGTGTTATCTGAGAGCAGAGTATTCTGAGTTAGAAGGGACCCACGGGGATCATCACTTGACACTATCAAGTTCTTCATACAACCCAGCTCTCTTCCCCCCAAAATAAATCATGTATAAATCTCCTGATTCACCATGCTATCAATTTTCGGGTCTGGAATGGCCTGGACAGTTGGAAGCATGACTTTTCTGTTACTGTAACTAGATTTGTAGTGAGAACCACCATTTGTCTCCACTTCTGCTTTATTTCCTTCATCCCAACCTATGTCATAAGGTAGGGCTGGAGATTCCTGTGAGCTTTGCTGCCTGACTCATACCCAGTTCTCGTTACAGAGACTCCAAAATGAACAGGAGAACCTGGAGAAGATGGAGTCATTTCTCCCAGCTGCAAGTAAGAGAAGCATTTGTTCTAATTATGGACATAATTTAGAAGGGGCTTGGTGATATTCTCAGGGAAGAGTTCCTCAGTTGATCATCCCAT